TTCCTGCTGCTGACCCCTCTCACCGTGACTGCGATGTAGGAAGCCGCTGGAGTCCACTATACAAAAAGTAAATATTGTCATTTCAAATAGAGAATGGCTTATTCTATAGCAGAACAGAGGGTGCCTTCTCTTTGAGAGGCCATGCTGAGCTCGGGGGGGACTGTAGCCATACAGCTGCCAGCGAGGCTGCTCTTTCCGATAGGTGCAAGCTCTGGTGCTAAGCGTGCCACCTTAAACCCACAGGTGACAGGCGATGTGTGTGGGGCTGGTATGAACATGTCCAGTGGCTCTGGAGACTGTCCGTCGCCTCCTTCCCTCATGCAGGTCCTTTGCTTGTGTTTGGGCTCGGTTTTGAGTACGGTGCCCAGGGCAGGAGGGAGTTGCTGCCGTGCGGATGGGAGCTGCAAGGGGGCCATGCTGCAGCGGGAGCAGGCACAGAAGCCAGCGATGCTGGGGGAGAGGAGGGGTACGGGCTCTGCCCTTCATCACTGAAGCTGTGTGACCTGTTGTATAATCCCTTTAGCTTCGATGGCACCATGGTGATTTACAGCACTAATGCTTTGATCCAGAACATGTTGGACTATGGGGCATGAATTAAAATATGGGCGATGACTGTAAAGCACAAGTTTCCATTCCTGGCCAGCTATTTTGTGAAGACATGACTGCAACCAGGTGTGAAGATCTTGCAGGAGATGAGGGAAAACCAACCCAGTCTAAACAGATTTGTTAGAATGTGAATGGGAGCGCAGCAGCGTAAGTGCTATTAATAGGATTTACACAGTTTACTAAACTAATCTGTGCATTTCAGATTGGATTTCATGTTATGGAAAAGAAAATTAAGCCACATACAATGCAGACTTTCCAGGCAGTGATTTGTGAGTGTGATCTATTGGATGGTGGAAGTGGCTGCTCAGAAAAGTTGTGGCAGCTCCATCGGGTGGGTCGGTGACACCCACTGGGAACCCAGAAGGGGAAAGCATGTTGTAGGGTGCAGAGCTGTGCTGGCGGATTCCTGAGGCAGACAACGAAAGGAGCAGCACTGCAGCCTGTGCAAGCAATGGCTCTTAAAATACACTACCAGGTGGCAAGGTAGTGTCCAGGCTTGGCTCTATCACCGCTGGTGCAGAGCGCTCCTCC